ATGGCGATTCCGGTGGCCGATTGTTCACCGTGAGATGCCGATCACAATGGTATGGGAGGAGAGACTTGGATCCTACTGTAAATGAACGGCGAAGCAAAAGTTTATATAGGACCTTAAACATAGTCTGATACCATGTGAGAAATTGGGAAAAATATGATATGTATTATTCACAAGACATGTACACACACATATATATATAGGAACATAATGAGCCTAAACCTAATCCTACAAGATATATACAAAATATATTCTAACAGTACTAGTTTTTACTTATATACGAATCACTAATTAAATTGCATTAAATGCAATAAGTAATGTACTTTTTACTAATTTAAGTGATGATAGCCAATTAATTAGTAAAAAAATAGCCATTTTAATATTTTTGCATAAAATATTAAATTTATATTATTATAAAAATCGTTTACGCAAATTTAAGGGATCTGATATGCTTGTTAGAATATCACTTGTGAGTTGTCCCACATCGTTCATACATGGAAAATAGACCCACCTTATAAGTCTAATGGACTACTCCTCCTTCCACCAATTGGTTTTGGGATGGAACCTCACTTGGGCTTCATTTGGGCTTTTTCCCGCTCATTGTGTGCTTCATGTTAGTGGGACGCACCCGTTTTTCCCCTAGTTTCTTACATGGTATCAGAGCCGGTTCTATTTGAGACTGTGCAATGACGTACCCGTTTATGTATTTGAGTCTGCTTCCCCATGTACCTGTTTATGTGAGTCTACTTCTAGTAGGCTTGGGGCACCCAGTTGGGCTTGGGCTTCTCGCACCCGTTTATGAGAGTCTGCTTCCCCACGTACCCGTTTATGGAAGTCTGCTTCTAGTAGGCTTGGAGCACCCATCCCAGTTGGGCTTGGACTTCCGAAGGACTAACAAGTGAGGGGGCGTGTTAGAATATCACTTGTGAGTTGTCCCACTTCGTTCATACATGGAAAATATACCCACCTTATAAGTCTGATGAGCTACTCCTCCTTCCACCAATTGGTTTTGGGATGGAACCTCACTTGGGCTTCATTTGGACTTTTCTCCGCTCATTGTGCGCTTCATGTTAGTGAGACCGTTCCCATTTTTCCCCAATTTCTTACAATGCTATTAAAATCAATTAGCTATTTAACCAAATCGGAGGTAAAAACAAAGGACTATATTCATTTTAACGTAAATAGTTTGAAGAATTTTTTTTTGCTACAGAATCTTTTATATGTGTGCATTTTCCATAAACATTTTGGTGTGAATTATAATTAATTAATATTAGTAGTAATTATTATATAATAAATTAGGTTAAATTATTGTTGCACTTGATCAGTGAAAAAACGTAATGGTTAGTTTTCATAATTATTTATGAAAAAAAAAAACGTAAAAATTGTAAGAATTTCATTTATTGGATAGCCCACAATGAATAGAGAAACTCTTGAATTAATTCATTTTTATTTTTTTCAGAAACTATCAGGTAATCCATTTGATTTTTCAAACATGACAATTAGAATAATAATAATAATAATAATAATAATAATAATAATAATAATAATAATAATAATAATAATAATAATAATAATAATAATAATAATAATAATAATAATAATAATAATAAAAGATAAATACTTAAATAGAACAAAACAAACGAGTACCACTGAACATATAAAAATCCAAGTAAGTAATCTGTAATTAATGTTGCACCAAATTCATAGCATAAAAGGTACCACCAAATCGAGACATAAATTAATTTTTTTAAGATACCAATAACCAACAAGGGAAGTACTAATGACATTGGAATTTTGCTTGTTTAGATGGTAACATATATTAGTTCATACACATAGAAGGTACCAAGTCAAGACTATTATTTATTTATTTATTTATTTATTTATACTAACAAGGGAAATACTAATCACATTGGAATTTGCTTGCTTAGAGGGTAACATAATTCTTATACAATGAAATTTGCTTGTTTAGTCTATAAGCAAGTTAAATGGGCTCTATTTGTTGAGAAATTAGGGTATGTTTGGTATGACATATAAGCTAGCTTATAGCTTATTTGATTAGTTTATAAGCTTCCTGTATTAAATAAGCCCTGTTTGGTAGGACGAGCTTATTTAAAAAGCTCGAGCTTATTTGATAAGCTTGTTTAGGTAGCGTTTCAAAATAAGCTCGTTGAATTTTTTATTTCAGCTAGCTTATAAGCTACTTTTACCAAACACTTTTATCATATAAGCTAGCTTATAAGCTATAAGTCATACGCTATAAGCTATAAGCTATAAGCTAGCTTATCAGCTATCAGCTAGCTTATCAGCTAGTTTTACCAAACACACCCTTAGTCTTTGCTTGACGACGAATCTAACTATTATAGTATGAGGATGAGGGCATTCTAGTATGAGGATAAGGGTATTCCAAAGTTTAGTAAAGATTGTAAAACAAATTATTCAATATTATAAAGAAAACTATTATTTAAATACTAAAAAGTGTTTTTTTTTTAAATAAAAAATAAAACTTCCCAACTATCGTATTGATTCTAAGACTGACTTTACTGGTGACCCAACCCATGGGTCACCAATTAAAAAATAATAAAAAAAGGTTGTAGAATTTGAGCTCGCGACCCATATATTGTATCAAAATGGGACACTTGTTCCATTTTGATTGGATATAAAAAAATAAAAATGATATTAAAAATGAACTCACGCGCCTCGTAACCGCCCTTCCCACTGAAGCGACGCGACGTGATCAGATTGCAGCGCGTGTAAAGTCTCTGAAACGACGCGACTTTTCAGGGCCGACAAGAATCGCAACGGCCACATCGCATTAATGGGTGCGTCGCCTCAGCTCGCATCATCAATGCATGAGAAGAACCGCAAATTCGACTCCAAGGGAAGCGGAAACACCGAGATGAAATTTGGCAAACTCGGAGGTGAACACCATTGTAGCGACCTCAGACGGGAGGCGGGAAGACCTCCCCTCCGAGCTCGGGGGCCTCTATGTTGATATCCGAGTTAGCCGAGAGTGAACCGGGAAGACATCGCCTACCGGGACCCGGGTTTAGGACCCGGTCTGGAGTAGAAGCGCCGAGCTGAACTAGGAAATAAAGTGCTCAGGATCACCATGGTAGCGTTTTCCTAGGCCGGCACTCCGGCTCGGTGCACGTACGAGCCGGTCTGGATGGGTGCCGGGCTGAAAGAGGGATCTGGGACGTCCCATAAACATATCCAAGAAAAGTGCCGATATGAAGGTCCAGAGCGGTCATCCCAAAGGCCAGGATGGGGGTCGATAAACATTAAAATATTCCCACTTGAGAGGTCATCATTGGACGATGGGACGTGCCGTCATAGCCTGACACCCTATAAGCAAGCCTAGTCAAGAAGGCCTGCCAGCATTAAGTGTCTCCCATGCTTGCATTAAATGTCTGACAGCAATGATTGAAGAAACCTCAAATCGCATTAAATAACCGTCAGGGAGACGCCGAACTGCTCTGCATGATCACTGCGCGACAAGACCGGTGAAGAGTACCTGAACAGTACCTCATTTAAGGATACTATAAATAGCAGTTCATTTCATTTATTTTAGGTTGTTGGATCTCAACTAACTCTACCTTCTCTCTACTTTCTCTCTCTAAAATTGTAAGGAAATCTTTGTAAGAAACTGTAAGTATATCACAAGTGCCGACCTCGACGAAAGGCCGACCCCGTGATCGCCTAATAATATCGTAATTAAACCATCTCTTTCCTTTACTTTCAGTCCCGCATTTTCGATATTTCTCATTTTAACCGTTGACCGAAAACGCTCGTCATCATACCTCCGAGTCAAAATTCGATGAGTTTGAATCGGAACCGAGTCGTGTAATACACGGGCTTGCCCACTCTAATTATAATAAGTCTATTAGTATTGATTAAGTTTTTAATTAGAAAGATGTTTTTTCTTATATTTAATTAATTATATTTAGATTAGATTGATCTTTTTAATTAATTTTTTATTAGAAAGATTATTATTATTTTTTTTTTTTTTTATATATATATATTTTCCTCATGTGCCCTCTTTCTCTCTCGCTTCAAAATCCCATGACTGATACAGACTGTACAGCTCTATATTCTCTCTCTAGAATTAACTGCAGCTGCATTTCACAGCCGAGTGACCACGGTCAAAAGAGTTCACTACTGTATTCACACAGTTTATTTGTATGTATATCTGTGCTGGGATTTGTCGGTGGTCTTGAGTCCTCAGTCCGTAGCTCTTCATTCCTGATTTCTCACTAAGAAAAATATTTCTGTGTTCTTACTGTGGGATCTTATAAAGTCTACCTTTTTCAAAGATCGGGCCTTGTGAGTCGCAGCTGCGTAAGTAAATCTGTTGGATAGCTCTCTTGCGAACTTCGTTTGCTTTTGTTAGCTGCTGCGCGCGCGACCGCCGATTCACGTGGCCGCAGTTTTCCGTTCATCCCGGTGAGTTGTGAGGTTTCTTGAAATCGATTTTATTCGTTTTGTGTTATGAGCTTATACGATTCCGTTATATGCGCCGTGTGCGTGCGTGTGTGTTGTTTCGTCAAGTTTTTTTATTTTTCCCCTTTTCTCAGGATTTGTATATGTAATGTATTCTACTGTTTGAGTTATCCAAGAATCTATTGTTCAAAAAAAAAAAAAAAAATCGATGTTCAGAATCTGAATCGATTGCCTACAGTTACTTTCTAATCATATTCATTCCCTGTTGAATTTGATATTATGTTTATAATGTTGTGTGTGATGAGGAGCTTCATCCCTTAGTACTATCATGATTCATGGGAGCCCGCTGTGTATAGCCTCCCATGTTTAATCATAAGTCATTTGGGAAATTCTGATTTTTCCTTGTGCAGGCAGAGAGCTTGTTATTTGTGCATTGCGGCTCAAAATCCAATAATTCCTTTAACGACCGAATTCTAGAAGCTTCGGCCTTAATTTTCTTGGCATGTTTTTCCATTATCGTCAAGAAACTCTAACAGAGATCTGATTGCAAAAGTTTTTCGACAATGGAAGAAGGCAATCTAATCAGGCCATCACCATTAAGGCCGGGAGGCCCCTTAAAGTCCCCATCGTCGGGAAAATCGAGCCCGAGGGGTTCTCCTTCTTTCCGGAGGCTAAACTCAGGGCGGACCCCAAGAAGAGAATCTATGCCCTCAGGGCTCTTCGGCTCTCACTGTTTTAGAAGCAATCGGGTTGTCCTCTGGCTGCTCCTGATCACTCTCTGGGCTTACGCTGGGTTCTATTTCCAGTCAAGGTGGGCCCATGGAGATAACAAAGAGAATCTCTTCAGCAGCGGCGGTTATGGTGGTGAGATCATTGGGCCCCATCGTCCGAATGAGAGGGACCTAATGGCAAATATCAACTCCGGGGTGGCCCGTTTGCGAACCAATGTGGACAATTCGAGTTCCAGGAATGTTGATGTGAATGTGACTAAGAAACCAAGTGGTGGTGTTTTATCGAGCAAGAACAAGTCAACGAAAAAGAAAAGTAAGAGATCCACACGCACTTCCCGTAAAAAGAGCCAGAGTAAACCAAAAGTATACACAGACGAGTCGGAAAGTGAAATTGATTTTCAGATGGATGAAATTCCGAAGCAGAACACGACATATGGGTTCCTTGTGGGCCCATTTGGGTCCGTGGAAGATTCTGTTTTGGAGTGGAGTCCTGAAAAGAGGCGGGGGACTTGTGACAGGAAGGGCGCGTTCGCCCGTCTCGTCTGGTCGAGGAAATTCGTCTTGATCATTCACGAGTTGTCCATGACGGGGGCCCCGCTGGCAATGATGGAGCTGGCAACAGAATTCCTTAGCTGTGGGGCCACGGTTTCGGTTATAGTTCTTAGCAGAAAGGGAGGTTTGATGACGGAGCTTGTAAGGAGGAAGATCAAGGTGCTGGAGGATAAGACGGATTTGAGTTTTAAGACGGCCATGAAGGCTGATCTGATCGTTGCGGGGTCCGCTGTTTGTTCGAACTGGATTGGTGAGAATTTTGTTTTCATTTTTTGATGATGCGGTCTAGGCGCTACTTTGTTATGTGCTTTGTAATGAGTCAGTAAATTGTTGTTTAAGCTTTTGGAATGTGACTTTCATGTCTGGATGGAAATGTGGCTTGATAGTGTCCAAATTGAGTATATCTAATATATTACACCTGATTGTTAATTGTGAGATCAATTTTCACTACTGCCTTCTTTTACCCTCTTCTGCCTTTCTGTTTGATGCGAACTGAGTTATTTGCTTAGTGACAGTATAGAATTTTCACTGGACACTGTAAACTGCCATTTTTCTGTGGGATGTGGTATTGTGTATCCAATCGCTGACCAATGAGTAGCAAATAAAAAACTAATTTAATCCCAAAGTACATGGAAACCAGAATAATTTGTTTGCTTTGTAATGCTTTCGAGCATTTTAATTGTCACTCTTGCAGAATATCCTACAGTGTGATGTCTTGCTTCAGCAGTATTATCATGAATGAGATTATAATATGTAAATATAAAAGATATTTGTACTGAGCTGAGGAGTTATATATCAAACCTCCCTCATATTTAATTGTGTCCTCAGAAAATTACCTCTCGCGTACGGTGCTCGGATCCAGCCAAATCATGTGGTGGATCATGGAGAACAGACGAGAATATTTCAACCGGACAATGCCTGTTCTCAATCGAGTCAAGAAGCTAATCTTCCTCTCACAATCACAATCCAAACAGTGGCTCGATTGGTGCCAGCAAGAGAACATCCAACTCAAATCCGAACCTGCTCTGGTCCCGCTTTCGGTGAACGATGAGCTGGCATTTGCTGCCGGCATCCCCTCGTCCCTGAACACCCCATCATTCACCACTCAAAATATGCTCGAGAAAAAACAGCTGTTGAGAAATGCCGTCAGAAAAGAAATGGGACTTGCCGATAGTGACATGCTAGCTATCACATTAAGCAGCATAAACTCAGGAAAGGGCCAGTTGTTGCTTCTTGAGTCCGCCCGTTTGATGATTGAAAATGGGTCCTCGGTGGAGAAGTCTGGCGGTAAAGATTTGATTTTTACGGAACATGATTATTACTCAAGGGGGCTGCTCGGGAGTCGGGAGAGAGAAGGTGGGATGGATAGTATCAAAATTCTTATTGGCTCGGTGGGGTCGAAAAGTAACAAGGTGCTTTACGTGAAAACGCTTCTGAGGTATTTAGCCGAGCACTCGAACTTGTCGAGATCTGTCTTGTGGACCCCAGCAACAACTCGTGTTGCGTCTCTATATGCAGCAGCGGATGCTTATGTGATGAACTCTCAGGTATGTAGATTTGAACAAACCTTTTTTATTATGAAAAAATGATCCATGAATGTATATATAACTGCTATATAAAAATGGAAACCGCAAAAAATCACTTGGGTGTCGCGGCCAAAATCAGCAGATCTTATGTTTGGTAATGTTTTGTCTATTGTTGTTATGTTTGTTTTATTGATTTACTTCATTCAAACTTATTGTAAGCAATCGCATGTCGAGTTATGTTGGGTACATGTTATCATGTTCATCGATTTGATTTTTCATGGAGTTGGTTAATTTTGCGTTATATATATTTACAGGGACTTGGAGAGACATTCGGACGAGTAACAATTGAAGCAATGGCATTTGGGCTCCCTGTACGAATAATAATTCTCTTTTTTTTTTTTTTTAATTTAAATACTATAATTAGCCAGTGATTTTTATTTGTGCAGTTGAAATTATTCTCAACAAGTTCATAATCCACTGCTCACCTGATAATCATTAGTTTCTCTTACAGTTTGCTTGTCAGTGAGATTAATGCATTGTACTTGTACCAGCCTACTTAACTCTTTGGTTTTTCATTCTGATAATTTTGTGCATGAAAGTGGTGATCGAATCAGTCGATTAATTTGTTTGCTAACTCATTGAATTTTCCATGCATCATTAACTTAGAAATTCTCTGTAATTTTGCAAGGAATACCGAAAAAAAAAAAAAAAAAAAAACTAAAATTCTGCACGGTATTGGTGCAGGTGCTCGGAACTGATTCAGGGGGCACAAAAGAGATTGTCGAGCACAATGTGACTGGGCTTCTACACCCCTTGGGCCGCCCGGGGGCCCAAATTCTCGCAAGAAATCTTGAATTCCTGCGAAAAAACCAGTTGGCTAGGCAAGAAATGGGGAGGAGAGGTCGAGAAAAGGTGGAGAAAATGTACTTAAAGAAGCATATGTTCCAGAAATTTGGTGAGGTTTTGTACAAGTCAATGAGAATAAAGTAATAGCGTTTTTTTTTTTAATGGGTTTATAGTCATAGCAAATGTTCCAAAATTTCATCACAAATTCACAATATTCCTTCATTATTCTGTTTAATAGTCCCTACCTACAAGACAAAAAAAATGACGTTATTATTAACTGAAACCTATCAAATGAACCTTTTTTTTCTATGGTTTTAACTGTTTGCATTTGCAGAAATAATTTTCACATGATCTCCTCAAACGTATTTGCTTTTTTCCTGTACTTATTGTTTCCATAGAAGTATCTTTTCCGCACAGAAATGGGAGACACTTCACACGAAAGGGATAGCTTCATAAAACATACAACCCGCAATAAATCATTGCCCAAAGTAAACACATCATGCCCGAAAACAAAAGAACAAATCACAAACTGGAAAGCCTGAAGAAGAACAGAGAAGCAAATATTCATTCTCTAATTGAAAGAAACAAATGAACCACATGAAGCAATAAGCCGAGATCTCACGTTTATCACCAAAACGACGAACACACAGAGATAAACATCCTCAAGAACTCACCTCAAAAACCATCATCTTATTTTCATCCGTTTTTTCACTCTCACATTTGCTCAAGCTCCAACACACATTGCACTCCATAATAGTGGACGGTTGATCACCCACCTGGTGGTAAAGGAGCCAATGTACCCACACAACCCTCTCCACTGCACATGTATCTCAAGAAAAAGTACTGGTGAGGAAAATCATGTCTATTCTACCACCAATGTTAGCATACAAACATACTACACTAGTAGAAAAAACATATTTCACATCGGTTGTTTACATCGGTTTAGTCAAAACCGATGTAAGAAACACTTTTCAAGATATGATTAATTTGATATATTATAAAAATATAAAAGTTATTAACTTTTAAAATAAATTTACAATTCAATGGGTATAATGAGAAATGATATTAAAATGCAATTAATACATGTAACATGACCATAAATAATCAATATATTTATGGATAATTCGGACCTAATTAGTTTTGGATTGGAAGTAAATTAAATTCTACCCAAGCCTAATAATGAAACATGTAATTTGCCACATAGGATCTCGAAGCATGGGAGCCTGCCACGTAGGCTCCACGTTTTGAATTAATATATAAGGGGGACTTACATGTGTTATACTATAGTAATTTTTGTAACTTATATCATATAACTACTTTAAATATAAATATGATTGATAAATAATTATATTTTTTTTAATTAATATTAAATATAATTTTATTATTATTATAAACATAAATATAATTTTTTTATACATACAATATGGATGTTGAACTGAAGCTCATCAAGAGATGATTAATTTGATGTATTATAAATGTAAAACTGATAAAAAAAACATAAGTTATTAACTTTTAAAATATATTTATAATTCAATGGTTATAATAAGAAATGATATTAAAATTCAATTAATGCATGTAACATGACGATAAATACTCAATATATTTATGGATAATCCGGACTTAATTAGTTTTGGATTTGAAGTAAATGAAAATTTTACCCAAGCCTAATAACAAAAGCATGTAATTTTGACACATAAGATTCCGAAACATGCGAGTCTAGCTCAGCACATTTTGAATCAATATAAGAGAAATTTCAATTTAAAGTTTTATAATTTTGATAGGGGATCCACTTCGGATTGCTGGGGCAGTTAAATAGAGAAATTTAGCCCTTCCTTGGTAGGGTTAGCCCATATAGATAGCAATTGTTACACCTTAATGGTCCATTTAGAAGAAAGCCCAAGAATAGAAAGAGCTTCTTGGCATGCCTAGCCCAAATAGATACCAACGGCTCATGTCATAAACATGCTTAGTTTGCTTAAAAATTAGCTCACAGTCTCTAATCTCTACTCATTTGTGACCGTGAAACAATTACAGGTGCTTGCCGGCCGTATATAAACCGAAATCCGAACAGAAGCATCGAGCGGCGCGCGCCTTTTGACGCAGCTAGGTTTTCTTTTTCCTTATGCTAGGTTTGCTTGCCGGCGCGTTACAATAAACCGGAATCCGAACAGCTAGGTTTGCTTTCCGGCGCGTTACATATGCTTAATTTTCTTCTTATTGTTCTTCATTTCATTCTTGTTTTTGTTTACAGATTATGGAATTTACTGTGTTTGTATTTTATTTTGTGCTACTTTCTGTCTCCGTGTGCTGGTTTATAGACCTTTTTCTAAGATAAAAATCTGTATTATGTGTTTGGTTTGTGATTTGTTAATGTTTTGCTTCTACGAAGCTACTACTTAAAAGCTTGAACGGTATTGGGTTTCAGTAAAAAGGGCTATAATATAAGGTTATGTGAAAGACGCTAAATTCGATAGTCGCCAGTGAGCTTTTATTTTAAGTAATTTGTTTCTTTTTATTATTTCCTTGTCAGGTGTTTGAGAAAATGCTCCAGCATAAGTATAATTTGAAGTGAATTGGATATGTTTGTCTTGAATTTTCACTTTATTGGTTTTATACGTGTGTTGAAGCCTACTTGGACATAAATTGATCTTCCTTAAGAGTTTTGAGACCAATTCGATGTTGCAATTTGTCCGACTTAAATGAATGATGTGGAACGAGAGCTTACGTTTTCTTTGATTCCATGGGATTTTTTATTTTTATTTTTCAAAATAACCTCCAGCTTTTGGTCTAATCCAACTTTTTAGCAGCAATTTCGAAGCGTTTCATGCTTTATGTTTTTTCAGATTGATATTCATCTCTATAGTTGGGGCATTGTCTTGAATTTGAATGTACTTTAAATCCAATGTTGGAAACGAAGAAGTTCGTATCAGAAATTTTTAATTTTGTTGGCTTTATTTTTTTAAGCTTGGATTAAGTTTGTTATCATATCATTTTCTTAAATTGAGCTATTGGTTTTCCGTTGGATACAGTGACATTTTGAGCAGTGATTGTCAGATGGCCAGCATGCATGCTTGCAGTGGATCATCCGCGACTATAAACTCCATTCAACAGACTCTTGGGACCAAAGCATCAATAATTCCTCTGAAATCTTTTGGCATCAATAGGTTCCCAAATAATGTGAAATTGGGTTCAGTCAAGTTCTGTAGATCATCTCAGCTCGAAGAGGGCTTAGTCACTGGGAAGCCACCCTCTCCTGTGTCTGTTGTTGATGTTCAGGAAATTGGAGGTATATTCAGTCATTTCTAATTTGTAGAATTTTGTGCATATTGATTGTTTATTTTATTTTATGTTGTGCAGACATATGATAGAGCTTGTTTATTTATTTGTTCTATTGTATCAAATGTTAAAAAAACTTGATTTCGGCTGTTGTGTTTATATTTCTGGTCAATGTATATCCGAATGTGCAATTTATGAGATTGCAACTACCCATTTCTTTATTCTTGTTATTTTGAGAAAATATAAATTGTACCTTTTCCCTTCCGTGGCCCAAGTCTGAAGAGAAGTGAGTCAGTGACTTAAGGCAGTGTCGTTGTTGTGGAAAAGTTATGGCTTTGAAGTTCTTCAATATTCCTCTAGTTGTCTGTCAACTTTAGAAATTAATATTTAATAAATGTTGATGGTTTCTGGCTAGCTGATCGTGTTCTTAAATTTATTTATTAGGGGGCGCTGCTAGGTTCAGATTTTACGACGATAAAGGAATCTTTTTATTGTGTCAAAGATAAAGGGATTTTTGTACCAAAAAAAAAAAGATAAAGGGATTTTAGTTTTTGTTGTATATTTGGTTCCCTTCGGTCACAAGTGTATTGAGTATATTTTGATTGTGAATGACATTGTATCAAATTAATTGGAGCTTGTAGTTGCAAGATATAATCTTGCATTGTAAACTGAAATGATTAGGTGCTGGAAGTAGCTTTGTGGACTATGGCTTGAGTGAAGCTGATCCTGAAGTTCGCTCCATAATTGATAAAGAGAAGAATCGTCAATTCAGAAGCTTGGAGCTTATAGCTTCCGAGAACTTCACATCTCGAGCCGTAATGGAAGCAGTTGGTTCTTGTCTCACTAATAAATATTCTGAAGGATTGCCTGGCAAAAGGTAGGTTTAACGTAGATATGCCCATGGAAGGCGGGGTATAAATTTGAAAACAGTTATGTAGCTATCGTTTTGAAATACCGTTGGATATTATTTATTTGATCTCTCCGTCTCTGTAGGTACTATGGTGGCAACGAGTACATAGACGAACTTGAGATTCTTTGTCAAGAGAGGGCGCTTGCAGCTTTCAATTTGGATGGAAGTCAATGGGGCGTTAATGTTCAACCATTGTCAGGGTCACCTGCCAATTTTGAAGTGTACACAGCCATACTTAATCCACATGACCGTATAATGGTAAAATGACATGTTTCCTGGCCTTCTGCTTAATATAGCTATAAATATCTTGTGTCATGTTTACTTGATGGGTTTTGAATTAATTTCAGGGCTTGGATTTACCACATGGTGGGCATTTGTCTCATGGGTTCATGACTGCCAAGAGACGGGTGTCTGGCACATCTATTTACTTTGAGTCCATGCCTTATCGGCTGGATGAGTCTACAGGTTTCGTGATCATAGTGTGTGTTTGCTTTGTTCTCAGACTAATTTGTATTATGATTTTTTTTGTGATTTCTGAAATTGTTTATGCAGGCCTTGTTGACTATGACATGCTTGAGAAAACAGCTACCCTGTTCCGTCCCAAACTTATCATTGCTGGTGCCAGTGCTTATCCTCGAGATTTTGATTATCCCCGCATGAGAAAGGTTCTTTGTCTCATTGCATATTGCAGATGCCACATTATTATTGTGCTTATACACCTTAGTTTGACGAACATCGTTTTATTTTTTTCTTGAAACTTGTGTAGATAGCAGATTCTGTTGGTGCTTTTCTTATGATGGACATGGCTCATATCAGTGGACTTGTGTCTGCTTCTGTTGTTGCGAACCCATTTGAGTTTTGCGACATTGTAACAACTACAACACACAAGGTATATTGATTTCTTATCTGTTTTTTCATACTCGGCAAGAGAAAATCACAAAACCTTTCCATGAAGTTTAGCCTATAGTTATATCCCAACTTGTATGAAGCTCCATTTAAATCTTAAAACTATAATATTCGATTGACCCTAACCTTTAGTTTGAGTTATCTAAGTGATTCAGTAAGGTTATAAAAAGTTTTTTCAATTTGACCCTAACTCTCAAAGGCTGATTTGTATGACCTTCAATTTTTTTGTAACCCTGACCATGATATTTTTCACCAGTCTCTCAGGGGTCCTCGAGGGGGCATGATTTTCTTCAAGAAGGAACCCGTGTTGGGAGTTGATTTAGAATCTGCTATTAACAATGCTGTTTTCCCAGGTTTACAGGTCCGTGAAATGCAAGCCAGGACTAAATTTCTATTTTTGGTCCTATACTGATTTTTTTTTGTTCAATTAATGATCCCATTTGTTATTATGAATAGGGAGGTCCACATAATCACACAATTGGGGGGCTTGCCGTTTCCCTGAAACACGCAAAATCACCAGAGTTCAAGGCTTATCAAAGCAAGGTAATCTTAATCTTGATACTTTCTGTAATTAGTTTGATTGAATGTTCACTCTACAACATTTTCTGTTATTATGACCCTGCTAGGTGGTCTCTAACTGTCGAGCTCTTGCCAGTCGACTAATGGAGTTGGGATACAAATTGGTCTCTGGAGGAAGTGATAACCATTTGGTTCTTGTGGACCTACGTCCCTTGGTGAGCATATTAGCTGCAGTAATCACTTAACATACTTGCTTTTGTGTATGCTCGTTTGGGATAATTCTCAAGGAGAAAACACACACACACACCCACACCCACACATATCCAAAGTTTGGCTCAGTCACAGGAAAGCCCATGTACTATTATATAATCGCGATTCTATTGTAAGTATTTTGAAAGATACTAGGGTTCTTGTTGAGTAAAAAATTCACTATAGATCTTCTGAAATATATTTCTTCTTGCCTTCCTATGTTTTATTTTATCTTCTTTTCTTTCTTTCTGTTTGGCATTAAGGTGCTTATGACTTATTAAAACTTCTAATGTATGAATTAGGGCATTGATGGTGCCCGGGCGGAGAAAATTCTTGATATGGCATCCATAACCCTCAATAAGAACTCTGTTCCTGGTGAGTTTTTTATTCCTTTTATGAGTCTACACCACAGAATGGCAATTTATTAAGGCGACACAATTTACCCTTGACTTTTTAATGCACAGGTGACAAAAGCGCCCTAGTGCCAGGTGGCATACGTATCGGTTCACCTGCCATGACTACTAGAGGCTTTGGTGAACATGAATTTGCACAAGTTGCGGATTTTATTCACGAAGGCGTGCAAATTACTGTAGAGGCAAAGAAGTCCGCAACGGGCTCCAAGCTCCAAGATTTTATGAAATTTGTGACTTACCCGGGCTTTCCACTGTCCGACCGGGTTTTGAATCTTCAAAGAAGTGTGGAGGCCCTGACAACCCAATTCCCAATCCCGGGCTTGTGAGTTGGTGCACGATATATCAATATTTAATAAGAGACAAATTTTGGGTGCTTGGCAGCTTGGTCTTCATTTATCTATATGTCACAAGTGCCTTCTTTCAGATTCCAATGATGCAAACATTTTCATTGTCTTTTCTTTTGAGATATTGTAACATGTACACTAGAATTATGGATGATGGTTTCTTTTGTGAAAACTTGGGAAGATGGAATGAAACTATCAATGGGTTTTCCAGCAGATGGTGTGTCTGAGTTAGCTGAGGGTATAGCTATATTATTACCTTGATAAGGACTGCAAAATTCTGGAACAAAGTTGTCTAGTTGCATAAAAACTCAACTAGTATCGAGTTACACATCCCTTAGGACTATTACGAATTTTGCACTTACCATATCAACTATATTTTTTTTTTTTTTTTTTTTTTTTCGGTACAATGAAAGAGACCGAGGTCTAAATGGTCTTACGCAAGAACTCGCCGAGGGTACGACAGCCTTAGGATATCGTGATCAAGCCAGGCGCCTATGCCCGGTGGAGATGAGGAGAAGGGCTATATTTGTATACTGAAATATACAAATTGTAGGGTGTTTTAATATTTCATTTTGAAATATTTACGATAATAAAAATTTTTATGTAATGGTATCTTTGTATGTCTTATTTTGTGCATTTTTTTCTCTCGTTTTTTCAGTTACTACAAAAAATTTTGGTCCCACCTCGTTCAATTTGCTGGATCTGTCCTTGGATCCAATGATTCAAATTTATTCTTATTTCTTTCATTACGCTTCATTCATATGATCCTACTTCAATATCGCGTGTTTTACAAGCCAAGGAAATTACAAAACCACGAACAAGGGCTTCATTTCATTTTAGTGAACTAAATGATAGCCATGACGCAAAAACTGTAAAATGTATTAAATTTTGCATGTTACAGCAAAAGTAGTTCTTTGTGAAAATTTTGAACTATAACGAGAGTTTTAAAAGTACAAAGGAATCACCAAAAAGTTCCACACGGTTGGACCACTTTCAAAATTTGAATAAATCGTATCATAGGTACACACATTTTGAGTAGGTCTTTGTTCAATTTAATGAGCAAAGTAATATTGGAGACAGTGGCGAAACTAGGATCCCGTTTTGGGGAGGACCTAATTTGTTTTTAAAAAAAATTTCCACGACAAAATCAAACACAAACACAAAAATAAATGCAAACTATTTAAATTATCGTTCAAATAACATTATACAAAATAATGTTATTATTTTCGGATTTCGATCCCTTTCCCTCCATGGCTCCATGCCTCCCTGCTTAGCTGCTCTGTGTTTTCGAATCCCGGATTTCCGGTGGCGCCCCTCCGGCCATCCCGCGGCGCACCACCCCCACTCCGGCATCGGAAGGGCGCTCAAAGGGCGCCCTTCCAGTTCCAGCAAGTTAAAAAAAAATTTTTTGGAAGGGCTGGCGCCTCTCCGACCTACCACATGGTTTCGCCCCTGATTAGAGATTATGTGATTGGAAATAAATTATTAAAAAAAAAATTGGTTGAATAAATAAAGTGAGCTACAGAGTGGAAAAATGAATTAATTTTGAGTTTGTGGATGGATATGAGTTAAAATGTAATAAAAATTGACATGATACAAAAATAATAAAATAATAATTTTAATATTTTTATTTAATCACTCTTTTAAAAGATATTATGGGAAATAATCACCTTATCCACGTGAACTTCCAGGCTACAAGTGTAATTTCCGTGAAATCAAGGGTGGAAAGTTGTATAAATTCCATTTCTTCTTCTCAGCCGACCGTTTAAACGTCGCCGTCTTAGCCACGTTTATCAGTGGCAAGGTATTCTGAATCAATCCTTGAGCCATTTTCTTACTTCCATTGCATCTTAATTACTTCTTCCTCTTCTTCTTCTTCTTCTTCTTCTTCATACTCTCTCACATTGCTGTTCCATTTTTGGGTTGTTGTTTCAAAACCCTAATTCGAGCAGAGCACAGCCCATTGATATACTTTGTCGTTTGAACCTACAGAGGGAGGGAGCGCATGCCTTTATAAACCCATGGTGGGTGCTTCATTGGCTGGATTGCAAGATCATCTGAAGTTGGCGAGGGAGTACGCCGTTGAAGGACTTTATGACACTTCCATTATCTTCTTCGACGGCGCTATAGCTCAGATCAACAAGTAATTTCCTTTCATCTTTTCTGTTTACCTAATTCTCTCGATCAAACTTATTAGTTTCCTTGACTATGTGTTATATTTCTTGATCACTGACACTAATGGGGGGGAGCGTAGTTAGGTCTATCTCTATCTTCAGTTGAACTTATATTTCTGTCGATTTAAGAAGTGAGCCAAGAGAAAAGAAAGGGGGAATTTTTTAGGAAATTGTGGATTATGGTAAAAAGATTTGCTGGATTTTAGGTACAGTAATTTTTAAAACGAGAAATAATTATTCTTGTGTTTGATTTTTGGGAATTGTTTTCTGAATTGGTTACAGTGATGCAGCTTGTATGCTGAATTGCTGATATCCTGTCCTGATTTGTTCATTTTAAACTTTTTGTAGGCATTTGAATACAGTTGATGATCCTGTGCTTCGTACTAAATGGATGAACGTAAAGAAAGCTGTTTCAGAGGAAACAGAGGTGGTTAAACAATTAGATGCTGAGAAAAAGTCATTCAAGGAGGTTCCTGTCGGTAGACGGCCCAATTCTCCTCCTATTTCGACCAAATCGTCTTTTGTTTTTCAACCTTTGGATGAATATCCCACTTCTTCTGGGGCCCCAATGGACGACCCTGACGTGTGGAGGCCACCTACTCGGGATCCTACGGGTAGGAGGCCAACGAGAGCGGGTCAAGTAGGCATGAGAAAGTCTCCACAGGATGGAACTTGGGCTCGCGGTGGATCCACTAGAACGACTGCACGTGGTGGGAGGGCGGGCACCACTAGTAAAGTCAACACTGGAGTTCGATCGTCGACTGCTGGGAAGAAAGGAACTGGGAAAACCTCAGGAAAAGCTGATTCTGTTGTAAGTAATCATGCTCAAAATTTTAGTTCTTAAGTTGGTCTTGGTCTTGTACACATATACTTGTTGGTGACACTTTTAATCCAATGTACGTGGTAACTTTTAGATGATTAACTTGTTATGTCTAGAAGTTAAATTGATTGTTACCATCTTGCTTGTTTTTCTCTTTCTGAGAGCACAAAATGGACATAATTTTGGTTTACATGTCCTGCTTTATTGATAGCTTCTAATGATTATGTGGGGAAGGTATGTCAATGTTTTGTAGTTGATTGGATAAGAAATATTCCAGTTTTCGTGTCAGAAAGTGCTTTAGATTTTCCATCTCCAGATGTAATGGAATGTTTTTCTTATGAATTTACTAGGACCCAAGTAATATAGTTTCTTCGTTGCCTTTTAGTATGGTGGTATGACTATATTGTTAGAATGGGGAAGAAACTGTGGATGTGCTGTGATTTGCTTTTATCAGATTATATACTTAGAGTTTCTGCTTCTTCAATATAAGATATTTTTCCTTTTCTCTCGATTTCCTCTTTCTCTCTGTTCTTCGGCATCAATTCTGTTAGATTTTTACAAGTTAATTTTTTAAATTTATTTTGCATATGCCTTACTTGTAGAACATCGTGCATTCAGTGTAATTATAAACTACTCTTCTAAACCCCCTGCAGAATTGGTCCTTGAGCCCAGTACCCATGGTTGCCTCCAGTATTTCTTAATTCTGTCCAAGTCCAACCTGTTATACTTAAGCCTACTGCATGTTCTCCCATTGTTACCTACCTAAACTTTTATGTGCAATTTATCTGCTATTTGCATAATAGTCAACACAATGATTGCATTTGTGTTATATGTTGTTTGATTTGTTACACACGACTACCTTTCTGATAAAGTATCCATATGCAATAACGATTAACATAGTGATTTGGTCCTACAGTCTCACTTAAAATGTTATGCTGATATTGCTGTTTAGTTGCTTATCTTCTTGCTTTTGACTTTTGGTCCTCTCCTTTCGTGCCCTAAGCTTATACAAATAGTTCATCAGTAGTAAGGAATATCACTGTAGAAGGTGTTACTTTATTGTCAAGAGAAAGGTTGTAAATATATCATCCATGGTTTGATAGAGGGCATCCTGCAGTATGCTTGCCGGTTTTTAACTTCTTATAAGGTCTTTAACTGGTGGCGGTTTGACTGCCTCTTGCTGTACCATTCTTTCTAGTTTTTTATTTAATTCATTGCATTTTTCAGAATGGTGATTCTGATGATGGAAAACCCAAAAAAGTTCAGTACGAAGGTCCTGATGCTGACCTGGCAGCTATGCTTGAAAGGGATGTCTTGGACTCCAGCCCTGGTGTTAGATGGGATGATGTGGCTGGGCTAAGTGAAGCGAAACGACTTCTAGAGGAAGCTGTGGTTCTTCCATTGTGGATGCCTGAATATTTTCAGGTACCATATATTAGATGAAACTAATGCGCTCAGAATTCTCTAAATACCCTAAAGTAACTATGACACTCTTCATTCGTCTTAATGTATTATGTTTTGGTTGAAAATGCATGTCTATAATCAGCTATAGCTTGGAGTAGATTCTAATTTAACTTTATAGCTTCACTGGGAATCTCCACTAAGTGCTACAATTTACTTATTTTAACATGTAGAAAAAGAACCTGGCATTAAAATGAAAATCAATGCGACGTTTGTTGGTCCTTGGTGTTTTCTTGGTATAGACCATTTAATTTCGAAAACCAACGCGAGTTTTAAATGAAAGTTTAAAACTGAAATGATGTGGGCTTTTAGGGAATTCGGAGGCCATGGAAAGGTGTCCTCATGTTTGGGCCTCCTGGAACTGGGAAGACTCTTCTTGCTAAAGCAGTTGCCACGGAGTGTGGGACCACCTTTTTTAATGTTTCTTCAGCAACTTTGGCCTCAAAATGGCGTGGAGAAAGTGAGAGAATGGTCCGGTGCTTGTTTGATCTTGCGAGAGCTCATGCTCCCAGTACAATATTTATAGATGAGATTGATTCTCTTTGCAATGCTCGAGGGTAAGAAGTTCACTGTTATTGCGACATTGTTTTTGGTTTTCTTTTGCATGTGATAGCAAGAGTCTTGATTAATTTATGAATAAATTATTTTAGCTTTTCTTTTCAATCGTCTTCATTAGTAGCTTGTGTTCATAAATTACTTTTATTAGTGCCAACATTTTGGTTGTGGTTTTCATTTAAAAGCCAAATGTTTTTACTGCTCAATATTCAGCTAAGAGTTCTTCTAGGAATATTATTTATCGCAATGATGCTGGGAGTGGGTTATATGCTCCCAAGAATTGTTAGGTATAGTTGCAACACCACCTTGAAGTTTGGCCTATATAATGTTATTTTTTCCCAAAATTAGAAAAACCAGACATTCATATTTTACAAATTGTACCCAATTGAGGGAATGTGTAGAACAAATACATATATCAATTTTTTTCAAGAATTATTATTTGGTCTAAACCTGTTGATGTGCAAATTATTTGCTGTTTTGTTAGGGCTTCTGGAGAACATGAATCATCCAGAAGGGTGAAGTCTGAGCTTCTGGTCCAGGTTGATGGTGTCAATGCATCTTCTACCAATGAAGATGGTACACGCAAGATTGTGATGGTTTTAGCGGCTACTAATTTTCCTTGGGATATAGATGAGGCGTTGAGGTCTGGCCTTCACTTTTGCGTTTTCTTATATTGTTAGCTATTATTTATTTCTTTATTTGTTTTTTTCCTTGAAGTTTCTAACTTGTGTTTTCCTTTGATCTGATTTATTCATATAAAATGTAGGAGGCGGCTGGAGAAAAGAATATACATACCGTTGCCTAATTTCAAGAGTCGTAAGGAGCTTGTTAGGATAAATTTGAAAACTGTGGAGGTAATTTGTTGGTTTAAACTTTTTTCAGCCTATCTACATTGGGTTTGATCATTAACAAGTCACTCATCGAGTTGCTACTATCCGTACGAACAAAATACAGGTGGCATCTGATGTGGACATAGATGAGGTGGCACGGAAGACGGAAGGGTACAGTGGGGACGACCTGACTAACGTTTGCCGAGATGCGTCACTCAACGGGATGAGGCGCAAAATAGCCGGGAAAACACGAGACGAGATCAAGAACATGTCCAAGGATGAGATCTCCAACGACCCAGTTGCCATGTGCGACTTTCTAGAAGCCATTGCTAAGGTACAGCCAAGTGTCTCGGCCGCCGACATTGAGAAGCACGAGAAGTGGTTTTCCGAATTCGGGTCAGCTTAGATTTTTTTATTTTATTTTTTAAATATTATCATCATTAATTTATTATGTGTTTTTGGTGCTGTGTTATTTGTATTTGTTATTTGCACTGGTACTCTTTGGTAACCGATTCTCTATTGGAGGTAGCTAATGGTATAAACGCTACTGAGTTAATCTTGATGGTTTTATTTTTTAGCAAGTACTGATGGAGAAAATCATTGAATTTATGGGAGCTTGATGTTAAATAATGAGGCTACAAAATCTGAATATTTTTTAGCAGTTGAATGTAATATTAGTTTATTATTTTTCGCTCCATTTGAGGTGAGAGTTATGAAATCCTCCCCAGTAAAGCAAGTAGACATTTTTCTAGTTTTGTTCTAATGAACTAAAAATTATAGGAGTTTTTTCAATACAAAGGCCTGAAAGATAGTTAAACTATCAATTCGGGGCCTGAAAGATTTTTTTTTTCTCAATTTGTAAATGTTATAAAACTATCAAATTAAAGACCCGAAAGATGGGTAAACTATCAATGCGGGACTTGTAAGATTTTTTTTTTCTCAATTCAGCTTAAATGTTATAAAACTTTCAAATTAAGTCTAGAATTAACAAAACTCATAACACCATTAAATTTAGAGTAAATTCAAATAAAGATAAGAAAAAAATGAATGTCGTGTCATAATTGAAGACAATATCTTCATATTTTTATCTCCAATAGACTCTGTCATGGTCCAATTTTTTACGTGGCATGACTAATGTGAAGCCTGCTGTTTGTGGGAAAACAGTGTATTTGACATTAAACGTGTCAAATTTTGTATTTATTTAATACATAAAGATAACATGATTTTTTTTTTTTTTAAAATAACATCATTGTGTATTTACTTGATACATAAATAAAACACATTTTTTATATTTTAAAAATTAAATCATTTTTTTACTTGATACATATACATAAAAATAACATTGAATTTAATAACAATTTTATATTTTAAAAATTAAACTAAGCTAACGTATCAAATTTTGTATTCACTTGATACATAAAATAACACGATTTTTATATTTTATTAAACTACGTTGTAGTTACTTAATCATTTTTATTTTTATTATCGTAATTCATTTTTTCTTTCCAAATTTATTCCTAGTTATACATATATAATTTTGGGAAGATGAAAGCTATTTTCTTTTTCTTACTATTATCATTTATTTAGTTTTGTGGAGATTAAAGCATTTTTTCTTTTATAATCTCTATCTCTATATATATAAAAAGAATTACCATTTACTAAAAATAGTAGCAAAAATTTAGGAAACATTTAATGCATGCTATTTTTGGAAAATTTTTATATATGCATTAATTGATTCTATGTACACGTTCTCAAATAAGATCAAATAATTACTTAAATAAATTATTACTATCTGCAGTATTTTCATTTATATTTATTATAATAAATTACAAGATTGATTTTCGTGATTCATGTTGATAATATTTTGGTCAAGACAAATATTATTTTATTAATATTTGTAATACTTTCATTGATATTCATTATAATGAATTACAAGATTGATTTATGTGATCCATATTGATAATATTTTGGTGAAGATAATATTACACAATATTTTAAGTTCTAACCATAATATTAGCTTTTTCACAAATATTCACTTTTTATCCAAAAATATTTATGAAAAATCGTAACAAATTAGGTAGAATTCTTTTTCCAAGTAATCAGACAAAATCAAATTGGTGAATTAATATTTGTCAATATATTTGTTTCTTAAGCTTTATTTTGTTAAATATAAAAGCTAAATCGTTCTTCAAATGAATATAATTTACCATTTAAGAGATAATGACCAGATACAATAAATAGTTTTACTAATGGTAAAAACTTAAAATTGAAACATATTAACTATTGTTTAGCATTTATTTGTATATTATTGCCACCCATGACTATATTTTTTCATTTTTTTATTTTGATTTATTTCTATAATTAAATTCTTGTAAAATATATTTTCATTGTTGAGTATGCTAAATAAACCATAAATCCTTATAATGCAAACTAGAAAAATCTTGATCATATAGGGGATCGAGTTCTTTGGATTTTCTAAATCAAAGTTGTTTAATTAATATATAAAATTAAATTCTAGAAAAACATGTGTATATTTTGTAAAATATTTATACACTAATTAATATTAAATTTATTTACATATTTTAAATTGATTACATAAATAAATAATGCAAACGTGCATTAAATATTTTTCATTACATAAAATAAAAATATAAAGAAGACGTACAACTTTTATAACTTTATAAATAATAATGATATTATATGACATAAAGTGTATAATAAAATAATAATTATGTATTATATGGTGAACAAGAATAAGTAAAATTGTTATTCTCTCTTGTATCAAGGAATAAATATATATATTAAAATCAAATTTAAATTAGGATAAATATGTTAGTGAAATAATATATTAATTATTTTAATATTTTGACTAAAAAAATAACGTTGATTAAAAGAGGTGCAAAATATATTATAACCTTATTGTTTATTATACTTAAAGCTGGTTAAAAGAGATGAAAAATAGATGATAATCCTATTGTTTTATATACTTAAACAGACAAAGCATGTGAAATAACACATTTAATATTTTTGTCCCATGCATCGCACGGGGTACATTCTAGTTAAAAAAATAAACGTAACTAAATAGTTAAAATCTCGCTGGTGGGGAAGTCTCAATATGTTTTATCCAATGAATCTGGTTAATCTTTTATAAGTTGTTTTATCATTTTTGTTTTCTAGAAAATAAATAAATATACACATAAAAATGACGAAAGGAAAATAAAGAATTGGAGATAGTTTTACAGTGTTATCTTACAAGATGTCAACAGTGATGTTATAAAAAGTACAATCCAATTAATTACTGCCATGTGGCATGGACATCATAACATTGAGGCCCATGCACTGAAGATGCTCTTAGAGCACCCGCATCGGTGCTATTAATTTGATGTTTAAACGGCACCCCCCGTGTTAATACCGATGGGGCACATCCGTTAAAAGAGGGGGCCCAGCACCTCGTTCAACAGATTAAGAGCATGCTTGGATATAAAGTTGTTTTTGTTTTGATTGGATTTTTTATTTGGGTTGGTTAAAGTTGAAAAAGTAAGTATGGTTAGTTGTTAGTGGATATAATAAAATAATATTTAAATAAAATGATTAAAATTAAATTGATGTAAAAGTAAGAGAGAGAAGATGTGATGTGATAGTTAGTTAAATTTATGTGAGTAGATGAATAGTGAATTAAGGTTGATGTTGTGTGTAAGAATGATTGATTGATATTATTTAATTATATTGATAATATTGATGATAGTGAGTTGAGTTTAAGTTGAGTTAAAAAAAAGTGATTGAGTTAAAAGTGAAAAAAAAATTGGATTGAATTTGTATCCAATCATGCTCTAAACGTTCATTCAGCATTTTTTTTTTTTTTTTGTTTAAAAATCTTATTTTATTAGGTTCATTCAGCATTTTCTTTTATTTTTTTTTTGTTTAAAAATCTTATTTTATTAGGGCCATGCTGCATATGTAGCAATTTTATTCTTTTTCTTTTAAGACTATTATTTAGTTACTTATTTTCCTTTTTTGTTTTTTATATTTTATTTATTTATTTTATCTATATCACACTTCTCGATATATATCAATAATTTACATTTCTTATTCCTATTTAGTTGAGTATATTTGGACTCATTTTGACAACTAAAAAAATATTTTTTGTTATTGTACTATTTTTTTCTTGTGTAACACTAATTTATGTTATTTTGGTCTTGCAGTGTTTTTTTTTTTTTTATTTTCATGTATTTAAATTTTATTGTTATAATTTAAAAGTATTAAAATTTATTTTTATTGTGGATAGAATATAGAAAATTATACTAAATGAGTGGATAATGGGTCCCATATACGCATTTAAATGAATGAGTATGAATGTGGGTGTGTGTTTAAATGGAGAGAGATTTGGTGAAAATATGATGTGGATGAGAGAGAGTGTAACTTTTTGATTGAATGAATGGAAAAAAATTTGTACCAATGTGGATGACCTTAGGGAGTGCTGAAGAAAAAGAAATATATTGGGAACCGACAAGGAACTTTAAATGTGCATTAGGGATTTTAAAGGAATTAACCGTTAACTTTTTTTTTTGTTAAATCATTCATAATATTTTGTTTTTAGTAAATAATTTTAATAATGCATAGAATGAAGATGAAAGTAAAGTACGCATAAAAACATTGATCTTCTGCATTAAAAGGTTTAGCTAACATGTTGAAGGTGTAACTCATAGAGATCGGGTTCAATTTCTTTTAGATGTTTTTCCTTCTTTGGAGAAAAGGACGTGTTGCAGAAGAACAAAAGAGAAAATGATCGGAGTAGGTACATTGGAAGAGAGATCTTGTGTGTGCGCGGAAGTTCTGCCGGCAGGAAGGAAACACTATCAGATTTAAACGACAATAATACACTTGAAAGATATTATAAAGCGAGGGTAGTTTAGGGCTTGTGCGAGAAAGTCTTTTCTGTTTTTTTTCCTCGCGACGTCGTTTCTACTTTCAAAGAAAGAAGCAACATTGGTCCACGTACCAGATAATGATGGGCACTAATGTAAACATCCAAGCATCCTCAAAACGACTTCACATGACGACGTCGTTTTCATGCAACTTGAAGGTGTAGGCAAGTGGACTAGGACTAGAATATGATGCATGTATCTTAAGTGGACTAGGACTAGAATATGATGTTCTGGTGGTCAGTACTCAGTAGTCAGCATAAATGGTAGATCTGATCTCTTCACACTGATGGATGTCACCTGCCTCCTCATGACACAGACTTGAAGCCTTTTCCACCTCTAATGTCTCAAGTCTCCCCTCGACTCATCTGACCACTCAATCTCAATCCAACAAGGGTTTTCAGAATACTTTGCCCACAAGAGGAAGAGGTCAAGCCTCCAACTACGGAGTAGAGGAGGAAGAAACAATAGAGGGAGAGGTAGA